CCGGTGGGACTGACTCACTTGTGATCCGTCTGCTATTCACAGTCCCTCTCTTTTGATGAGCGACCACAGCGTAAGCAGGGCGTCTACTGCTGAGTTCACCTGCAATGTCTCGTGAAACGCTCCCGGTTTGTTTATGATTCGTGTCATTCCAAGCACACGGAAACGTAGTGTGTGCGTTAGAGTAGGCGGCACAAAATGACAAGACAAACTGCGTCCCTTATTGATCGAGTAAAGGACGGTGCGTTTAAACTATAAAATACGTGTCCCATACGTAGCCTCCGACCGTTTTTCTTTCACGGTGTTGGAGATTGAGGATTGTGAAGACGACACAGAGTAAGTTGCAGTGTTCTCGTCTTTAATAAATCCATCTAGCACAGCTACCGCACTGCAAACTGCCTGCAGCTCTCTACCACAGTGAATAAAAGGGTGTGGACAAAGTTTGTCTATTAATGGTTGCTCCTTTTTTCTAATAAATAACAACGCGTCTCTTCCTCTCTGCTGTTGCTTCTCCCAGCTGCTGTTACCCAGGGTGAGCTATCTGCCTCTGGTTACAGACAAGGTGAAGAAGCACTTCCTCAAAGTGATGAAGGCCGAGGACGTGGAGGAGATGTGGTTGGAGTATGAAGGGACGCCACTGAAATGGTGAGAAAGCGACCGTTAGATGAACTGCTTTTACTCGAGCTATCAGGGGAAACACGATCGAGTGCACTGTAAATAATTACACTGCTGGATTTAAAATGTGTAACCTCGTGTCCCTCATCGTATTGATTTGCGGTCTCTATTACAAATATATGTAGAAGATCAGTTCAGTGTTTTTTTGACTTTTCCTCCAACGGCTCACTCCCATAAAACCTACACCATATTACAACCAGCACTGTCAGCAGGGAACTGGATCTGTGTTGCGTGTTCTATTAAGACGTCAGCTTGAAAATAAAGTTTCCATTTCCCCAAACTGTTAAAATCAGTTTCATGGGACTTTAGATATTCTTCCTGTTTGTGTACCTTGTTGTTGTGCTTCAAGTAAACAGCCAGGAGAACAGCCTCCACTGGGACTAATTACAGGCGACTATTTAGTTTCTTGTCTTCTAGTCTGCTGAGATCAGCAGCACAAGTAGACACAAGGCTCAGCCACAAGGTGTCAGTATTGCAGCACAGATGGTGAAGCCTCTGGCTGACAGTAGCATCAACGTTCCAGTAGTTACACTAAAACACACTTAATTGTAATTTTTAATTTAATTGTAATTTAATTGTTTGTTATGAATGTAAAAATATCAAAATGTTCACTGGTTTCAGACAAATGTGAAGTTCTGCTGCTTTTCTTTTATCATTTTATTATATTATTATTTTATTTTTTAAATGTATTTATTATTTTTTTTCATACTGTTCTTATTCTGTCTTTATACTGTTTTTTTTCTCTATC